TCTTCAAAGCGCGCTCTGGAGAGGGTCTCTGAGAAATCAATACCGTCCATGATGCTTTCGATCTCGATACGAGCTTGGTGAGTAGACGACAAGGCTCTCTTCGCCTTTTCTACTTCCCTGCGGAGTTTGGCTAGAGATCGTTTGTCGGAGCGGAGGTCCTTCTTATGCTTCTTAAGGAAGATCTTGATGAAATGGTCCATGACACGCTGATCGAAATCCTCGCCACCCAAGTGAGTATCACCAGAAGTGGCGACGACTTCAAACACACCATTATCAATGGTCAACAGGGAGACATCGAAGGTACCGCCGCCAAGATCATACACAAGGATGTTCTTCTCAGACTTCTTGTCAAGCCCATATGCGATGGCAGCAGCTGTGGGCTCGTTGATAATTCTCATGACATTGAGACCAGCAATGGTGCCGGCATCTTTAGTAGCTTGACGCTGACCATCGTTGAAGTAGGCCGGGACTGTGATCACTGCATTCTTCACTTCAGTACCGAGGTAATTCTCAGCAACTTCCTTCATCTTCGTCAGCACCATGGCGGAGATCTCCTCAGGAGTGAGAGCCTTCTTCTGGCCCTTGACGGCGATCTCAATCATAGGCTTGCCGCCCTTTTCGATGATGTTGAAAGGCAACAGTTTCTTATCGCGTTGAACGGTCTTATCAGAATAGCGACGACCGATGAGTCGCTTGACATCAAACACGGTATTTTGCGGGTCAATGGCGACGTAGTTCTTTGCGGCTTCTCCAACGAGACGTTCCTCATCAGTAAAGGCGACGTAAGAAGGGGTAATTCGATTTCCCTGATCGTTGGGGATGATCTCGACACGGCCGTTCTTGTAGATGCCGACGCATGAGTAGGTGGTACCGAGATCAATACCGACAACTGGGCCGGAGACCTTCTCCTCCTCTTTGGCACCGAGGACTAAGCTGACAACGTAGGCAAAAATTGCGATGGGTAACCTCATGGTGGGGTAAAAACGGGGACCTGTTAGGTGACTCGTAATAAGACCATAGACACCGACAATCAAGGCTCAAATACATGCCATATGTCAACCCCGACAGGAACTCATTGCGAGCAGTCGCTGGCGGAAACTTATCATAGCAGGAAGTTCAGCGGGTGGCAGCACATGCATGAGCAATGCGTGCATGCAAGGGGCGAGCGATATATAATGTGCGCGAAGCGATACATATTCGCGTTTCGTTTCGCAAATCTTCTTGGCCAGTCCCAAGGAGCCCGACCCTTTTGATACCTCACATCTTGGTGCGGTGACCTGGTTGTTGGCTGAGCGCTGTGATTGACTCTCTACGTCACAGTAATACTCATCTCGGGTGGTGAGCGT